CCCTGCCTTAGAGTTAGAAGGGGTATCAATAGGCCAATCTAGGCAGGTCCTGCATTACAGCTAGTCCTCGACGTACGACCACAATTGAGCCCAAGAAATTTCAGTCCTTAAGTGAGACTTTTGTTATGTGAGTTTGGCCTTGTTTTATGACCTTTCTCTGCCTCACTTCTTAAGTGAATCCCTGCAGCTGTTAAATCAGTAACACGGTTGTTAAGTGAATCTGGCTTCCCCCGTTGACTTTGGTAGTCAGAAGGTCGCAAAACTGGATCACCTGACCCCTCGGGAACACTGCGACCGTCATAAATGTGAGTCAGTTGCCAAGCGCCCAAATTTTGGATCACGTGTCCGCGGGAATGCTGCAATGTTCCTAAGTGTGAAAAACGGTCAAAAGTCACTTTTTCTAAGTGCCGTTGTAACTTCAGTCACTATGTGAACCGTTGTTGAGTCGAGGACTGCCTTTAAGTGGAAAAAATGGGATGGTGGCCAAAGACTTATGCCTGTTTTCGATCTGTTTTTTTTTTCAGAAACAGCCACCCCAACCGCCGACTTGTGAAAGGATCTCAGAGGCTGTTTCTGACTTTAGACGATGTAACTTTTGTAAACACCAAAATCAGTCGAATGGTAGGTGATGGGAGACCGTCTATCATTGACCCGGTTAAGTGGGGGGTCTGCCCAGGTGGGCAGAAAAGTCAAGATGGTGTCCGGTTGCATCAGTCATATGTCACTTTTCCCAGTGTCCTTGTAACTTCAAAAAGGTCCTTAAAGGAATGGTTGTAAATGAAGGACTATACCTGTCATGGTTCCGACAGATGAAACTCTTCAAAGAACTTTGAGGCATTGTTTACCTTAAAGAATCTTTATTTGAGAAGCATAGCATCGGCACTAACATAATCGAAGCCAAAAACTAGATTCCCCTCCCCTGAGCACATAGTATCAAAGCACAATTCCCTTCTCCAATTAACAGTCATAAATCACATTCTCCAATTAGTTTGAAATGCAGGTTTCCCCTCCAGTTCTCCAGCCTGTCATTTCTTTATCATCTCTTATTTCAATAACCTTGGTTCTCACACTAGGTTCAGCATTGTTATGTCTAGCTAAACTCTCATGCACATTCCTTCCCCCAGCATCATCTAACTCTAACTCTAAGAGTAAAACATAAGAAGAAAACGGTTGCATCTCCATCTGTTATCAAAGCAAAAACATTCGATGTTAGCAGCGTTGACAATACCTGTATATTGTCTTTCTCCCCCCCTCCCTTGGTTTCCATCTTTGCTTAATTCCTGGCTGTGCAGGTCATCCTCAACTTACAACCACAGCAGAGCCCAAAATGTCTGTTGTTAAATGAGTCTTGCCCCATTGTACGACCTTTCTTGCCACCGTTGTTAAGTGGATCATTGCAGTTGTTAAATTAGTAACACGGTTGTTAAGTGAATCCGGCTTCCCCCCATTGACTTGGCTTGTCAGAAGTTTGCAAAAGAGGATCACATTACACACACACACACACACACACACACACACCGTGATGCTGCAATGGTCATAAGTGTGAACCACCGGGACACTGCGACGGTCATAAATAGGAGTCAGTTGCCAAGCGTCCAAATTCTGATCACGTTCATAACTCTGAAAACCGGTCAGGAGTCCCTTTTTTTTGGCGCCGTTGTAATTTTGAACAGTCACTAAATGAACTGTTGTAAGTCGAGGACTACCCGTATATGCTCTTCCCCCCCCCCTTGGTCTTCATCTTTGCTGAATTCCTGGCTGTCGTTGCTTGCTTTCCCAGAGGTTAACTCTTGACAACCTCAGCGAGTCAAAGAGCTGCTCTGAAGAACACAGCCTCAGGTCCGTGACCCACTCGTTGTCGGTGAAAAGCACAACTCTAACCTACGAAACCTCCAATGTGGCTGTGTACGAGGTAAGGGGGACCTTCATGACATAGGAGCAGTGAGGATTTCTTGAGATCCCTCTCCATCAATATCGATAAAGCCCAAATTAGTGGTAGAGACAAAAATGGGGGAATATTAGTGATTGGCCCAGTCACCTAGCTGGCCTTCATGGCTAAGGCAGGACCAGACCTCCCAGTTTCCTGGTGATTGGCCCAAAGTCACCCAGCTATCTTTTGTCTCTAAGGCAGAACTAGAACTCACTGTCTCCTGGTGATTGGTTCAAAGTCATTCACTGGCTTTCGTGCCTAAGGCAGGACTAGAACTCACCGTCTCCTGGTGATGGGCCCAAAGTCACTCATCTTTTGTCTCTAAGACAGAACTAGAATTCCCAGTCTCCTGGTGATTGGCCCAAAGTCACCCAGCTATCTTTCGTCTCTAAAGCAGGGCTAGAACTCACCATCTCCTGGTGATTGGCCCAAAGTCACCCAGCTGACTTTCATGCCCAAGGCAGGACTAGAACTCCCAGTCTCCTGGTGATTGGCCCAAAGTCACTCAGCTATCTTTTGTCTCTAAGGCAGAACTAGAACTCACTGTCTCCTGGTGATTGGTTCAAAGTCATTCACTGGCTTTCATGGCTAAGGTGGGACTAGAACTCACCATCTCCTGGTGATTGGCCCAAAGTCACCCAGCTGACTTTCATGCCCAAGGCAGGACTAGAACTCCCAGTCTCCTGGTGATTGGCCCAGTCACCTAGCTGGCCTTCATGGCTAAGGCAGGACCAGAACTCCCAGTTTCCTGGTGATTGGCCCAAAGTCACCCAGCTATCTTTTGTCTAAGGCAGAACTAGAACTCCCAGTCTCCTGGTGATTGGCCCAAAGTCACTCATCTTTTGTCTCTAAGAGAGAACTAGAACTCCCTGTCTCCTGGTGATTGGCTCAAAGTCACCCAGCCACCTTTCATCTCTAAGGCAGAACTAGAACTCACTGTTCCTGGTGATTGACCCAAAGTCTCCCAGCTACCTTTCCTGTTTAAAGGAGGAACTAGAACTCACTGTCTCCCGGTGTCTAGTCTGATGCCTTAACCACTCTTAGATCTTTCATTGTAAAGCTATAGTAACAAAATCTTGCAAGTCTGAATATACTCCTCCCACTTTTATTTTCACATGAACCAGGGAGGGATCAGACTAGGGTGTTTTCTCAAGTTGTTTTCTTTGTCTGGGCTTAATCCCCGTTTATCTTGGTAGCATCCAAGTGGCTGAGGTTATCCAGGGTCCTTGCCCTTACAACCGTCATAGTGTCCCCACGGTCAAGAGATCACAATTCAAGTGATTGGCAACCCCGTGTATTTACAACGGTTGCAATGTCCCGGGATCACGTGATCACCATTGGTGACTTCCCAGGGATCTTCTGACGAGCAAAATCAATTGGCAGAACCAGATTTGTTTAACATGCGCTTGATTCCCGTAAGGACCCCTGTGAAAAAGTTTGTTACGTGAACTTTGGTTTTAAAAAATTTGCTCTGCTTCGACAGGGAAACTGGGTATGGCTGAAAAAACTGGAGACTGTGTTGACCAGTGATTGGAAGCCACGCGCAACCCATGTGCTTACCAAGGTACGTAGAAAGGGAGAGAGCGAATTGTGCCCCACGTACACATCTTAACCCAGTGTTTCTCAACCTTGACAACTTTAAGACAGGTGGACATCAATTCCCTGAAAGGGTTATAAGTGTGAAAAACAGTCATAAGTCACATTTTTTTTAGTGAAAAAGGCCACCTTGGCATCTTCAAAATGGAAGCAAAAGTCCTAGGACAGGGGAAGGCAACCTTGGCTCTTTTATGGCTCATGGACTTCAACTCCCAGAATTCCTCAGCCAACATGGGCGAACTATGGCCCCTTCATGACTTGTGCACTTCAACTCCCAGAATTCCTCAGCCAACATGGGGGAACTATGGCTGCTTCACGACTTGGGGACTTCAACTCCCAGAATTCCTGAGCCAGCATGGGGGAACTATGGCTGCTTCACGACTTGGGGACTTCAACTCCCAGAATTCCTGAGCCAACATGGGGGAACTATGGCTCCTTCACGACTTGGGGACTTCAACTCCCAGAATTCCTGAGCCAGCATGGGGGAACTATGGCTGCTTCACGACTCGGGGACTTCAACTCCCAGAATTCCTCAGCCAGCATGGGGGAACTGTGGCCCCTTCACGACTCGTGGACTTCAACTCCCAGAATTCCTCAGCCAGCATGGGGGAACTGTGGCCCCTTCACGACTTGTGGACTTCAACTCCCAGAATTCCTCAGCCAGCATGGGGGAACTGTGGCCCCTTCACGACTCGTGGACTTCAACTCCCAGAATTCCTCAGCCAGCCATGCTGAGGGGAAAGGGAGAGGTTTCCAAACTGAGCCATGCTGGCTGAGGAATTCTGGGAGTTGAAGTCCACAAGTCATAAAAGAGCCAAGATTGCCTACCCCTGCCCTAGGATTTTCAATCAGTCGATCCTAAAAGGAAATCATTCCTGGATGTTCTTTGGAAGGACGGATCCTGAAGCTGAAGCTCAATTTTTTTAGCCACCCAATGAGAGGAGAGGACTCCTGGGAAAAGACCCGGATGTTGGGGAAGATGGAAGGAAATAGGAGAAGGGGACAGCAGAGCATGAGATGATTAGATATGGTCATCAAGGCAAGGAACATGATTTGGGACGAACTCCAGGAGACAGTGGAGGACGGGGTGGTGGTGGCTCTGACGTTCTATGGTCCATGGGCCCACAAAGAATCAGACACAACTTAGTGACTGAACAACAAGAAGAAGATGGAACCTCTCAGGTAGATGGACTTCTACTTCCACAATTTCCCATTCAGCCATGTTGTACTTTCTTACACTTCCTTGTTCTCTTCTTTTTTGATTTGTCTGTAGATGAGGGAGTTACGCCATGAAAATGTGAACCCCTTTCTGGGTGTTTTATCTGACACGGGCCTTTCTGCAGTTGTGATGGGTTTCTGCTCCAGGGGAAGCCTCCAGGACTTGCTACAAAACATGGACATAAAGTTAGACTGGATGTTTAAATCATCCCTTTTGATGGATTTAATTAAAGTAAGTCTCCCTCTGATTTCTCAATTTGCTGTTGCGGTAAGATCCTATCGCCAGAAAAACCAAATGCACAGGTACAGAATAGGGGGTACCTGGCTCACTAGTAGTAACTGTGAGAGGGATCTCGGAGTCCTAGTAGACAATCAGTTAAACAGGAGCCAGCTGTGCCCTGCAGCTGCCCAAAAAGCCAATGCAATTCTGGGCTGCATTAACAGAGAATCGGGATCACAAAAAGAGGTGATACTGCTTTATAAGGCATTGGTAAACCATACTTGAATATTTCATCCGGTTTTGGTCACCACGCTGTAAAAAAGATGTTGAGACTCTAGAAAGAGTACAGAGAAGAGCAACAAAGATGATCAGGGGACTGGAGGCTAAAATATATAAG